GAAAGAGCCCAGGTGAGAGGAGAACGTTCCCAGCCTGCCAGGACCCAGCCAAACAGCCTCTGTCTCCACCCCATGTCAAGGCACGGCCAGGTCATCAGCACCTCCCGAGAGGGTGGGAGTTGCAGGGGCTGGAAGTCACCCCTGGGCACCACTGCCCGTGGCCACAGCTGGCACAGGAGGGCTCCAAAGGGACCATCTGCTCCCTTTGAGCAGGTTAGCTCCCTCCAACACACAGGGAATTGCCCATTGCAAGCTCAGACCTGTCAATATTTAGGCAGGGTAGCTGGAGGTGAAGTCCTGCTGTGTGACAGACTGTCCCTCCACACCCATGGGGCAGAGCTGGTAAATGCTTTGCCAGCAGGAGTGGGCACACTCACAGCCTTGGTGCCACCTCTGCTCTGGGAACACAGACCTCTGGGTCCCCAGTGGCAGGGAATGCTGGCAGTCCTACCGGCCCAGGGAAGGGAACCTTCCTCCCCAGACCTCCCCTGGCCCAACACACCACCTGGGGCTGTGTGTTCCTGGGGTCTCCTACCCGCAAGAAGGAGTCCAACGAGCCATTCTCCATGAACTCAGTGATGATCATGACTGGTGAACTCTTGGTCACCACCCCCTCCAGGTGGATGACGTTGGGGTGGTCGAACTGCCCCATGATGCTGGCCTCGCTCAGGAAGTCCCTCCTCTGCTTCTCTGTGTAACCAGACTTGAGGGTCTTGATGGCCACAAAGATCTCCCGTTTGCCAGGAAGCTTGAGATGCCCACTGCACACCTCACCAAACTCCCCTGTGGAGAGAGGGGAACAGGTAGGGCTTCTCAGCCTCTCAAAGCTCTGCCTTTCTCCCCCAGGGTCCCTGGGGCTCCAGCCATGCCCACCCTGCCTGCCCCTGAGCCCACCACCCACCAGCTCTGCTCCCTCCTGCAGTCCAGGCAGAAGATCTCCCTTCAGGTGGACTCATCGTTGGTGAGGAGCACTGGACATGCACATGAGAATTCCTTGTCTCCAGCACTGGATCTACTTGCTCCTCCAGCACTGGACCAGCTTGCAAGGCTTTACTGACACTTCCCAGTAAACGTAGAGGCTGAATCCTCACCAAAGCCTGACCCCCCCTCTGCTGCTGAGGGTCACCAGCAATCCACAATCCACCTACCTGCCCCAATCACCTGCTCAATTTTGACACAGGAGATGTCAATTTCTTTTGCAAATTCCCTGACAGCCTCATTGGGATCTTCATAGGTGAAGGGATCGATGTAAATCTTCATCCCTGGGGTCACTGCATAAAGGTGAGGGAGAGAGTCAGACAGACAGATGCAAAGGGAACAACTGGTGGGGAACACTGAGGAGAAGAGAAACCTCTTTGTGTGAGGGTCTTTTTGACCTCAACAAGCTGCACAATCCAGAACAGGAAGCAGGCACAGCGAAGCAGTTTGAGGAAGAACAGGCAGTTGTGTTTGCGTGGGAAAATTAAAGCTGGACTGTAATGAGTATTGGCCCAGAAGTCATTGCTGGGGCAGTGGGAGGTCACCAGCATCCTGGCTGGTGTCAGCACTGGGGTGGGCAGCAGGAGCAGGGCAGGGATTGTCCCCCTGTGCTGGGCACTGGGGAGGGGGCACCTCAAGTCTTGGGGTCAGTTCTGGGCCCCTCAGGACAAGAAGGACATGGAGGGGCTGGAGCGTGTCCAGGGAAGGGCAAGGGAGCTGGGGAAGGGGCTGGAGCACAAGTGTGAGCAGGAGCAGCTGAGGGAGCTGGGGGTGTCCAGCCTGGAGACAAGGAGGTGAGGGGAGACCTGCTGGCTCTGCAGCTGCTGAGAGGAGGTTGGAGCCAGGGGGGTCGGGCTCTGCTCCCCAGGAACAAGGGATGGGACAAGAGGGAATGGCCTCAAGTTGCCCAGGGGAGGTTTAGGTTTGGTATTGGAATAATTCTGCTATGAATACAGACTGAGAGGGTTGGGGTGTTCAGCCTGGAGAAGAGAAGGCTCCAGGGAGACCTTAGAGCAGCTTCCAGTGCCTGAAGGGGCTCCAGGAAAGCTGGGGAGGGACTTTTCACCAGGGAGGGCAGTGATAGGACAAGGGGTGATGGTTTTAAAATGAGAGGGGGGAGATTAAGGTTAGATATTAGGAAGAAATTCTTCACTCTCAGGGTGGTGAGGAGCTGGGATGGGTTGCCCAGCAGGTTGTTGATGCCCCATCCCTGGAGGTTTTTAAGGCCAGGCTGGATGAAGGTTTGTGCAACCTGCTCTAGTGGTTCCCTGCTCATGGCAGGGGGGTTGGAACCTGATGATCTTTAAGCTCTGGCTCAGGGCTGCCCAGAGTCCTGCCTTTTGGGAAACACTTCACAAGAAAAATGCAGAAGCACCAGAGAGTCCCAGGCTGACACTGAACTGATGTTTTCCATTTTCTGAGCAAGGCTCAGGTCAGTGTGGGAACCAGGGGAGAAAAGGACAGAAATCACAGAATCACAGAACCAGAGGGGTTGGAAGGGACCTCTGCAGATCCAGATCCATTGCCTCTCATCCTGTCACAGGCACCACTGAACACAGACTGGCCCATTCCTGACACCCACCCTGCAGATATTTATAGACATTCATCAGGTCCCTTCTTAGACTTCTCTTCTTCAGACTGAACAGCCCCAGGTCTCTCAGCCTTTATCACACAGATGTTCCAGTCCCTTCATCATCCTTGTAGCCTCTCTTGGCCTCTTTCCCATAGTTTCCTGTCCCTCTGGAACTGGGGAGCCCAGAACTGGACACAACACTCCAGGTGTGGCCTCAATGGGCAGAGTAGAGGGGCAGGAGAACCTCCCTGGACCTTCTGGCCACACTGTTCTTCATACATCCCAAGACACTATTGGCTTTCTTGGCCACAATGGCACATTCCTGTTCCATACTTGTCCACCAGGACCCCAAGGTCCTTCTCCATGGGGCTGCTTTCTAGCAGGCCAACCCCTCATCCATATGGGTGCAGGGTGTTTTTCATCCCCAGGTTCAGGGCTCTACACTTATTCTTGTTGAACCTCATGAGGTTCCTCTTTGCCCGGCTCTCCAGCCTGCCCAAATCTCACTGAATGGCTGGATCAGCCAATCCTGAAGCTGCCAGTGGTAACATGGGGTAAGGAGTGACTGAGACTGGGACAAACTGGGATTACAGGTCTGTAGGGGGCAAAGAGAAAGGGTTGGCAGAGGGGATGCAGGCAGGGTTGATGCAGGGAAGGAGGACAGTGAGGCAGGGGGTGCAGGACCCTGAGCGGGAATGGTGGATGTGTTAGGGAAATGGAAGGGGGAGGCTGCAAGAAAGGGCATGTAGTTCTATACCTATATATAGAGATAGATCTGCTATCTCCTGGGATTCTGGGAGCCCTGTGAGGGGATCTAGCAAAGGCACTGCAAGGTCTGTGGGTGCCTGCAGAAGGACAGGGCTCTGCAGGGGCTGGGCAGGCTGGGGGAAGGGTCCAGCTGGCACCCCCAGGCTGGGCAAAGCTCAGGAGCTGGAGCAGCCAGACACAGTGTGGTGGCAGAGGCAGAGGAGGGTGAGGTGTCAGGGGCACCTGGAGGGGTGTGTTGGGCACTGGGGGTTTGCAGAGCAGGCAGAGGGGGTCACTGCCCAGCTGGCACCCACAGCATTTGGCACAGCACTGGGCTCTGCAGAGCGGGGCAGGGACCCGGGGGATGGGGGACAGCGGGGGGGTCCAGACAGCAGGGAGCTCCTCCTGCCTACACACCCACACCCCTGCCCCTTCAGGGGACCTGAGCCCTCCCCACAGGGTGCAAGGAAGGTCAGGAGGGCAGCCCCAGGCCCCCAGGGTACGTACTGTGCCCGCTGGTGTAGTGCTGCAGCTTGTCCGTGTACTCCGAGTCGGCGCGCTCAAAGCCCCGTCTTCTGGAAGGAAAGGAGACCTGAGCCCCAGCAGGGCTGGGAGGTGCACTGAGGAGCACCCTTCCCATCCCCATCCTCCCCTCCTGCACCCCCAGCCCCAGGGGGAGGGCTCAGACCTACCTGTTGCACACAATGATGATGACAACCACGGCGATGAGGAACACCAGCCCGGCTGCTGAGGAGCCGATGATGAGAGGCAGCTTCTCCTGGATGCTGGTCTGGTACTCAGCTGGGGCACAGGGAAGAGGGAACAGGGTTATTGTGGCACAGGATGGGGCTACACCATAAAGTTCATCAAGCATGAAGTTCAACCAGGCCAAGGGAGAGGTTCTGCCCCTGGGTCAAGGCAATCCCAAGCACAGATCCAGGCTGGGTGGAGAATGGATGGATAACAGCCCTGAGGAGAAGGACTGGGGGGGTGATGGTGGAGGAGAAGCTCAACATGCCCAGAAACCAACCATGTCCTGGGCTGTGTCACCAGCAGAGTGACCAGCAGGGCCAGGGAGGGGATTGTCCCCTCTGCTCTGCTCTGCTGAGACCCCACCTGGAGCACTGTGTACAGTTCTGGAGCCCCCAACACAGGGAGGACATGGAGCTGTTGGAGAGAGACCAGGGGAGATCACGGAGGCAATGAGAGGGATGGAGCAGCTCTGCTCTGGAGCCAGGCTGGGAGAGTTGGGGTGTTCAGCCTGGAGAAGAGAAGGCTCCAGGGAGACCTTAGAGCAGCTTCCAGTGCCTGAAGGGGCTCCAGGAAAGCTGGGGAGGGGCTTGGGACAAGGGTAGGGAGGGATGGGATGAGGGGGATGGATTAAAACTGAAAGAGAAATTGAGATTGGATATTAGGAAGAATTCTTCCCTGTGAGGATGGTGAGAGCCTGGCCCAGGTTGCCCAGGGAAGCTGTGGCTGCCCCATCCCTGGCAGTGTTGAAGGGCAGGTTGGATGGGGCTTGGAGCAGCCTGGGCTGGTGGGAGGTGTCCCTGCCCATGCAGGGGGTTGGATCTAGATGATCCTTAAGGTCTCTTCCAACCCAAACCTTTCTGATGGTCAGAGCATGGCCCTGAGCACTGCCCGCGTTTGCATGGCTGTTGCTAATGGGGTTCCTGGTGTGGGTTTGGTCTGGAACAGTCAGTATGTGCAGCTATGACACGGAATGTGCCCCGGTAGGAAGGCTGGATGGAGCTGCCCCTTCTGGATGGGAAAGCTCAGTCCCATGGCTACCTGCATGTTGTGCCTTGCTCCGTGGCCTCAGGGACAGAAAACTGGCTTGGCCTGTTTTACTTTTAACAGCACAACTTTAGAAAATAGAGGCCCAGGTCTGCATTTGTCACCAACGGCTCCGCTGTGCTGATAATGATAAATTCCCTTTCCTCTAAATCCAACTGAGTGAACACGTCCCAGTGCCAGAAAAGCTTGGCAGATGTTGGCCTGGATTATGTTGTTCCCTGCCTGGACCACCAAGTGCCTCCCTCCTGGTCTTGCCAGGTTGAATCCCAGATTCCCAGGGGTTGGAAGGGACCTGGAAAGCTCCCCCAGCCCACCCCCCCTGCCAGAGCAGGGGCACCCAGAGCACATCACACAGGAACGTGGCCAGGGGGGTTGGAATGTCTCCAGAGAAGGAGACTCCACAGCCTCTCTGGGCAGCCTGGCCCAGGGCTCTGGCACTCTCACAGGAAAGAAGTTCTTCCTGAGATTCACAGGGAACCTCCTGGGCTCCAGTTGCCGCCCCCTGCCCCTTGCCCTGTCACTGGACATCACTGCACAAAGCCTGGCTCTGCCCTCCTGACACTGCCCTGAACAGATTTGTGCCCATGGATGAGGTGGCCCCTCAGTCTCCTCTTCTCCAAGCCCAACAGCCCCAGCTCCCTCAGCCTTTCCTCAGCAGGGAGATGTTCCCCTCCCTCCAGCATCTCTGTGCCTCTGCCCTGGGCTCTTCCCAGCAGTTCCCTGTCCTTCTGGAACTGAGGGGCCCAGAACTGGGCACAACATTCCAGATGTGGCCTCACTGAGGCAGAACAGAGGGGGAGGAGAACCTCCCTGACCTACTAACCACCCCCTTTCTAACCCACCCCAGAGGCCATTTGCCTTCTTGGCCACAAGGGCACATTGCAGGTCATGGTCCTCCTGCCCACCAGGACCCCCAGGGCCCTTTCTCACCCGAGCTGCCAAGGCACCAAGGGACTACCAGCAAGGAGACCATCCCTGTGGCCAGTGAGGTGCCCGTGTCCCCGCGGTGCTGGGGCAGCTGAGGACCCACCTTCAGTCATGGTCTGGAAGTACATCTTGCCGCTGTACCGGCCGTACCCGGCCACCGTGCGCGCCCGCACCTGGAACACGTAGATGGTGCCAGCTCTGAGGTTCTGCACTGCCAGGGTATTGGTGGGGCTCTTCACTGTGGTGGAGTTTAATTCGCTCAGTTCCTGCCCCCCAAAAAAACACAACAGAACCCGGCATCAGAAAAAAAAAAAAGAGCCAGAATCAGGGGCTGAGTTTCTAGAGGGAGGAGGCGCCGGAGAACGGGGCAGAGAGCACCACGGGGAGAGCACAGCCCTGACAAAACTGGTCATTCTTCCATGTCTGCCTCCTGGCAGGAGTGGGAATACAGATATCCCTGTGCTCTCCAGCCCAGGAAAGGCTCTGATGAAGCTAGAAACCTCAGGTCAGTTCTCCAAGGCTTGAGCTGCTCAATGGGAACTGCTTCTCCCTTCTGTGCCCACTCAGCTCTGTCCTTCCTCACCCTCTCCTCCTGGGCTTGAGCCAGACATTTGCTCTTCCCCACCTCTGCCTGTGCTGGAGGTGAAACCCACCTCAATACAGGGATCTGGACCTTAGGAGAAGTCCTGCTACCATCTCCCTGTCCAGGCCCTGCTTCACTGGGGACCATGGTTTGTTTTTCCCAAGCTGGGAAACCAAAGAGCATGTTTAAAAGTGACAAGAAGGCTATTTCCAAACTTCTGCCCTTGTGTGCAGTTCTAGCTGAGGGCTTGAGCAGTCATAGCACAACAGCAGGGATGGTACTGCAGGTGGGTGATGGCTCCATCACTGCCCTTAGTAATCATGCCCTTAGCTGAGCATCTAGTGGGTGGGCCAGGATCTCCTTGTGTGAGTCACTGTCCAAGAGAACAGACAGTCCCTGCCCCCCAGGACATGGAGGAGCAGGTCAAGAGAGGGTGGCAGAGGCTAGAGGATGTGGTGCTTCCTGGGATCAGGGCAAGGTGGCCAGATGCCTGCCAGCCACAAAGGGCTGAAGGTGGATGCTGAGCAGCAGGATGGTTCTGGAACACAGGAACATTCCAGGACAGCCAAGCTCTCAGTATGAGCCCCCAGAAAAGGAGACCCAGGCACTGATTTCTGAGCCAACTTTGTGTAGCTCCATGAGAGTGCTCATCCTTTCTGGTAACACCTCTGATCTGGCAGGTCAGGCTGCCTGGGCAGGGTCATGGGGTGGAACAGCTCAGCAGCTGTGAGCTCAGAACCTGAGCTGACAATTTCACAAGGGAGCCCATGAGATAAGCCACCTCCAAGCCACTGCAAAGGGCTCAGCAAGCCCAAGGACTCCTGCCCCAGGCAGACCCACCTGGGGGTGAGAGAACCTCATGAGAAGTAGGCAGGGACTGGTGGAAGGAAGAAGCCACACATGGTTTCTGCCATCCCATCAAGGGGAACTGAGGGTGAGATCAAGGGCCTGGCCTGTTGTCTCAGCTCTGAACCTCCACTGGGTGAACCTAGAGGGATTTCTTCTTGTCCTGTTCTCCAGCAAGATCAAACTCCCAGCGAGGAGTGAAGTGTCCAACTTTTCCTGCAGTGAACTCGTGAGGGACACAGGGTACCAGAGGGGCAATGAGGCAGGAGGTCCCATCCTGTGCTGAACCAAGGTTTCCTCACACGAGCTGCACAGGCTGTTGCTCTCGTGCTGCTTAGGCAACCACAAGGCAGAGGCCACCAGAGAGTCTTGTACCCAGCTCTGCACATCCCTTGCCTGGAGGGGGATGTCTCCTCATCCCCCTTGGCTGCTGGGGCACAGGATCAGTCAGAGCTTGTCCTACCCAACAAAAAATGCTGGAGCTTGTCTTTGGGGGCAGCTGGTCCCCCTTTTTTTTTCCCACTAGCCACATGGCTAGCCAGCTGGTGACTTTGCTTTTTCATCCACTTCTGAGAACAGTGCTGGTGCCATCATCCAGAGGATCCTCTTCACAGCCAGAAGCTGTGGTAGGAGCAACATTAGAGGCCCAAAGAGCTGTCATGGGGCTCCATAAGCAGACCATGCTGACCCAATGCTTCCCTCACATTCCTGGGAGAGCCTGATGCCTTCTCCATTAGTCATGGTGCTGGAGAAGCATTGCAAGTGCATTTGCAGGACAGATTATCCTCAGCACCCAGGTCTGTGCAGACTTTTTGCCTCACAGCTGCAAAGCAGCTGGAAGACAACACTCCTGGACTTCATGTCTTCTTGTCTTAAGCTTTCAGTTGAGCAGGGCTGGTAAGAGAATGGTTTGGCAGGAATGTGCTTCTCCAAGAGTGCAGTCCAACTCAGAGGCTTGGACATGCTGGTGGCAACATCCTTCTGCAGGGTAATGCTCTGCAAAAGGCCAGGAGACCTTCACTGTCAACAGTGTTCAGGAACAGTTTTCCCTTCTGGAAACCACAGCAGCAGCTTTATCCGCCTGGATCTGGTGCTTGGGTGTCCCTGGGGTCTGTGGAATTAGGTTGATGACAATGAAAAGCTCAAGTCCAGGTACACAGACAAGAAGGATCAAGAACACATGAGCACAGTGCAAACTGATTGCCCTGTTTGTCTGCTCAGCACTCAGCATCACCTTGGCCCTTTCCCAGGCAGGCCAGGAGAGAAATAGGTCAGGAAATGTTTATAGCTCAAGTGCTCAAGGGCTTGGACGAATCCTCCCAGGCCCTCAGATGGCACTAACAACACAGTTGCTTTGAAATAATTTGTCCAACTGTTTGAGGGAACCTCATCTCTGCTCCTGGAGGACTTTAAATTGAATGCAACAGGCCCACTTACACGAGAGGTCACAGCCTGGGAAATTGATGTCTGTCTATCTCAGAGAGCTGTGCTCACACCCCTGCTCTCCTTTAATCCCAGGCTGCAAGGAAAGAGCATTTACACCTCCCCACCCTCCCTTATCAGACCAATCCCTTCCCCCTTGGCAGGTTGCTCAGCCCTCACCTCTCCAGCAATTCACTTCAAACACTTCTCCCCTTTCACCCCTCTGGGTTTCTCCAGCAGGTCTGAGACATCCCAGGTGGCTTCAAGTCCAAATCTCTTTCCTGTTTCTCTCAGCTTTTTTGTTTGATGGGTTGGTTTGGTGGAGGGTTTTTTTTTGCCTTTTTTTTTTTTTTTTCTGGTGAGAGTTTGGAAATCCTAATTCAAAATAACACACTTATTTCCTCCCAGGTTTGACTCCCAAGTCCTCAATCTGGTTCCTCTGCCCTGGAGCCAAATTGAAGCCGAGACCAACGTCTGAGAAACAGAGGGTTTCTGGAAACATGGGCAGCCTGTGAAATGCTTGAAGGATTTGCAAAAAAAAGAAAAAATGGTTTCTAAAAAGTAACATGGCATCAGCCAAAAAAAAAAACCCAAAACAAACCAAAAGAGAAAGAAAAAGCTCCAAAAGAAAAATGTCAGCAGGCTGGATTTGGCAGGGAGCTCCTCCGCGACCTGCTGTGGTTCCTGCAGCACACGGAGCCACACAGAGGGAGCCTGCCTGCCAAAGCACCCCATCCTGCTGGATGTTGTCCCCCCACGGGATGGAGGGTGTGAGGAGGGACATCCAGACATGGTGCCAGGGCCCTGATGGTCGCTCTGGGTTGGAGCTGTGGAGCCCAAAGCTCCTGGGTGCTCGTGAGTGACATCACGCTTGAGATCTCAAGGGCATCTGTCCTCCCAGGGAGGTGTCTGAGCAGGGGTGGGGAGGTGGGAGTGTCTGGATGCTCCTCACAGGAAATCTCAGCCATGGACAGAAGCAACGTGGACCCTGGGCAGGGATTGGGACTGTGAGAAAGTGACCACGGGCCTCCTGGCAAGGTTTCCTCTTCATCATCTCCACCTCAGTTTTCCCCAGAGGGGTTTGGACAGCACGGGGTGGGGGGAAGGGGCATCCCAGCTCTGGCTCCATCCTGGGAACAGGTGGGAAACACCAGGCAGCAGCTCTGGCCCCAGGCTCGGGGTTGCTGGTGTCCAGCACTGCAGGCTGGAGCCCAGGAAAGTCCTCTGCTCCAGTGTTCCCAGCCACCCTTGGTACGAGGTGACACCAGTGCTGGGGATGCTGAGCTCCTGCCAGGAGCTCCTGGGCACCACCAAGGCCACAGACACCTTGACTCCCACCTGCACCACCAGCTGCCACAGGTTGCCTCCTCCTCACCCTTCCAACACCCTCGGGTTGGCTCCTCAGCCAAACCAAACCCTTTCCCCAGCACTGGTTGGAGACATCAAAGGGCTCTTGTGCCTCCTCAAACATTTGCATCGGGGAGCGAACTGGGCACCAGGGATGGGCTGTAGGTCTTCAAACAACTCCAAAACGGGACACTTTCCCTAAGCCAAAATCATTTTGCATAACAAGGAGAGCTAATTACTCTTTGCAGAGCCTGCAGTGGGTCTCCAGTTCCCACACTCTGGGATGGAGCTGGCAACTTTGGACAACAACTCCTACGCCCTTTCTAACTGAAGACAAGACTCAGTCTTTGCCTGTGACAAACATTGTCTGGTGCCTCTTGGGGGGAAAAGAAAAACACATTCTGAGGAGGACAACAGGGAGCAGACACATCATCACCCAGTGTTTGCTGGACAACCTGCACTGGTTCCCTCCAAGTACATATGAAAGAAAACCCATCCTAGAGCTTCTGTAGAGGCATTTTTAATAGCCTCTAAAATGGCAATATTATTTATAACCTGGGAAATGGAAACAAAGATACACGTTGGTTTCAGGTTTTGTGACCAGCTGTTGACACTAAAACACTTAGTTCAATTCTTGATATTTAATTCATGTTGAAATCAATTAAACCTGAAGAGTCAGAACACTTTTTATACGAGATGCACGTGCTGATATTCTTACATTTGCACTGTTTCCATGCTCATAAAACATCATTTTCTACTGGGAGAAAAAACAATCATGGACTTGGAACAACTTAACTAGCTCTGGAGGTGGTTTCTGAGCATCCAGAAGGACATGGGACAGTTTGCAATGAAACATTTTGGAAGAACATCATCACTGCAGGGACTGGCAGTCGAGTCAGAGCACACCTGGGATGTGTCTCCCAGCCCATCCCAGCTGCTGGAGTGCTGGGAAGCAGGGGACAAGCAAGGGGCATCCAAAGCAGTGCAGCTTGGGACTGTTCCCAGGGCTCAGTTAGGTGGGTTTCCATTGCAAAACTCAGCCCTGCAACTGGTCTGGTAGGAGAGGGAGCCCTGCCAGGCAGGCTGAGAAGAACGTGGGGTCATTGCATTGCTGAAAGTGCAGAGGGGACTTGATGGACCAACCAAGCAGATGAAGACCTGGAGGGTCTTGAGGGTCCAGCTGGGGCTTTGGAGACAAAGCTACCACACACCGAGGAGTTTGGGGAGAGGGAAACCCACTGCCATTGCCAGGCCCTGCCTCCAGCCTGTGCTTATTCCACAGCTTTTTTAACCCTTTTCCAAATCCCCTGAGGTCTGTTTGCTGTGGGACTAAACTGTGACCCAATGGTCCCTTTCTGAGAATGACACACAGCTTGGTGGAGGGGAGGAGATAGAGACTTGAATTTCTTCTTCAACCAAAGCACCAATGAAAAATACATAAAGAAGTTGAAATGATTCTGCCTGTCTGCTCTGGTGAGACCACCCAGCAGGGTTGGGGCCAGTTCTGGGGTCGTCAACACAAGAAGGAGATGGAGCTGTTGGGGAGAGTCCAGAGAGTCCCACAGAGATGCTGAGAGGGCTGGAGCAGCTCTGCTCTGGAGCCAGGCTGGGAGAGTTGGGGTGTTCAGCCTGGAGAAGAGAAGGCTCCAGGGAGACCTTAGAGCAGCTTCCAGTGCCTGAAGGGGGCTCAGAAGACAGGGGACCTTCAGCCTTTTTAGCAGGGCCTATAGTGATAGGACAGAGGTTCAGACTAAATGTAAGGAAGAAATTTTTTATGCTGAGGGTGGTAAAACACTGGCCCAGGTTGCCCAGAGAGGTGGTAGATGCCTCATCCCTGGAAACATTCCAGGGCAGGGTGGATGAGGCTCTGAACCACCTGATCTAGCTGAAGATGCCCCTGCTCACTGCAGGGGGGTTGGACTGGATGACCTTGAAAGGTCCCTTCCAACCCAAACCATTCTATGATTCTATGATCCCTTTCTGAGAATGACATACACCTTGGCTGAGGAAGAGGTAAAGCCTTGACTTTCTTCTTCAACCAAAGCATCACCCAAAAAATATACCAAGAGTTTAAAATCCCAGGACAGAGGGTGCCCCAGCACCAGCATGTGGGGCTGCTTGTGTTGTCCTCTCTGCCCAGGGCTCCACCTGAGAACCTGCTGCCAGCCAGGGCATTGCCTGAGCATGGCTTGGGCCACTTGTCCCCACGAGCAGGGACACACTGGGCTCCAAGCTCTGGAGATGGGGTGAGCAGATGCTCCCCTTGTGGCTGGCTGTGAAGACTGGCCACGACCTGCAGCTTCCCCTTTAGACAGAAATTCCCTTCATTTACAGCCTCCCAGAGCAAACAGAGGGGAGGGGGAAGAAAGGAAGAAGAGATTAAGAGAAATAAGAGGAGAATGAACTCCCTGAGATCTTCTGTCTCAACTTCCAAGGTCCCCGGGGAGAGGACCCCTCTTGCTTTCCAGATCTGTCTTGTTACCTCCTCATCCATCTTGCCATGTATTCTGGGATCATTTCCAAGGGTCAAATAAATGGCTGTGATTTATGCAATATAGGTCAGGACCTATTTAACAGCTTACAAAGAAGCTCCCTCCCCCCCCTTCCCATTCTCCCTCTGGCTCTGGGTGATGAGAAAATAGGTCATGGGCAGGCAGTGGGGGGGATTAATAATTTCTTCTGGCAACTGCTGGGAAAAATATTTTCAGTTCCATTTAATCATAAAGCTTTTTAATTAGTGAGTTCCTAATTTTTAATGTATAGTTTATAAGCTCTTGTGTAAGGGGGCAGATTCCTGGAAGGAGAAATCTCCTGCTCCCCACCTCCCCCAGGTAGCACAGATGAAGTTCACCACTCAGGCAGAGCTTGGCAGGTCCTGGGACCAACATCAACGTGGTCTTCAGGTCTCCCAGCAGCCACACAATTCCAGCACCATGGGATGGACACCCTGGCTGGTCTGGGCAGGTGGAAGGGGCATGTTCGTCAGGGAGGAAAGAGCTGGAGCAATGGGACCCCTTCACATCAGCCTCCCCCATGTGTGAGGGGACAGCTTCTCCCTGGTACCCCCTCTAGGTGAGGGGGTTCAGGCTGCTGCACGTAGATGCCCAACACCTTTGGTGTTGCTGTGCTGAGGGCCAGCACTGCACAAGATCTCAGAGCCTGCACACTCAGCTGGGGAGGTGCAGCCTGGGACGAGATGCTCTGTGACATCCCTCCCAACCCCACTCCCCACTAATGGCCCCAAGAAGGGAAAGGGAAAAATCAGCCCCTAGGCCCTGGCTACCCAGCTTTCCCTGCTATGGGTCCACCTGAAGGGAGAAGCAGCTTCTCCTGAAAGACCAGCAGATTTTTCACACTTGTCTCTGCAGGGTCCACTTGCAATGGCCAACCAGAGCAAGAGAAGCAACCCGTGGTGCTGTGCCCCTCCACGAAGCTTTGCACCACCTCCTCTCCCCCCCAAAAAACAACCCCTGCAGCTGAACCCTGCTGTGGTCCTGCAGTACCTTCTCATAATATTGCAGCTCATAATCCAGGATGACCCCGTTGGGTTGGTCGGGCTGGGACCAGGTGAGGGTGATGCTGTCCACGGTGCGGCTGACCTGGTGCATGATGGACACTGCTGAAGGAGCTGCAAGAGAGAGCAAGAGAGAGGCCTCAGGCAGGACCCACATCCCCAGCGGGCAGGTGCCCTCCTGCTGTTTGCAGCTACTGAGCTCAGGACCAGCAGAGACAGGGCTTTGCAGCTACTGAGCTCATGACCAGCACAGACAGGGCCGTCCAGGGATCAGGAGATCCTGGTTGTGGGGGGGCAGAAATCCTGTCTCCATGGCTCATGAAGAGTTTGGCATGAAAAACCATGTAGGGCAGCATCTCAGGCAGGAAAACAGCTGGTTCCCAGGCCAAAGCAGCCCAGGGTTGGAGCAAACACAGCCTTGTTCCCCTAGGAACAGCTCTACCAGCACCATGCAGCCCTCCCTGCTTGAAACAGGGGGGTTTGCACTTATGAAGCAGCTTCAGGAGGCAGGAGCAGGAAGCAGGGAGCTCCTCTCCACCCTGGTGTGCTGGGTCTGCAAGTTGCAGGTGCCAACCAAGGGAGGGGAGGACAGAGCCTGAGCACGTCCACACGGACTAGACCCGACACGCTGAGAAGGGTGAGCTCAGCAGGGAGCCCTGGGAACAGCAGAGCCACGGCCACCACTTGTCCCCTGGGCACACTGGGACCTTCCAGCCCCTCCCTGGACAGCCCAGCCAGCCCTCCTGCTGCCCTGCACTGCCTGCCTGGCTTGACACCAGGCCAGGGAGGAGCAGTTCAGCCCCAGCTGGGGACACACCGTGGGAAACTGCACCCAGGGATCTGTGCTGACACGTCCCTGGGGCAGGGACATGGGGCAGAGCTGCCACCTCCCTGGGAAACCCTGACCACAGGGTCACAGTGTCACTCTGGTTGGAAAAAGACCTTCAAGATCCTCGAGTCCAACCACCACCCTCACTCTGCCATGCCCACCACTAAACCCAGTCCCCTGGCACCACAGCTGCCTTCTCAGATGTCTCCAGGGATGGTGGCTCACCCCCCCCCCTGGCCAGCCTGGCTCACCCAGTCCAACTCCCAGCCCAGGGCAGGACAACCCCAAAGCTCACACCATGTCCCTGAGGGTGTTGTCCAAATGCTTCTTGAACCTTGTCAGGCTCAGAGCCATTCATGCTTCCCTGGGGAGCCCACCTCAGTGCTCCACCACCCTCTGGGTGAGGAATCTCTTCCCAATGTCCAGCCTAAACCTCCCCCTGCACATCTTCCTGCAGTTCCCTTGGGTCCATTCCCAGCTCTGGCCCTGCCTGCTGTGAACCAGGGCAGGTGAGGAAGCTGCTTTCAGTGCAGTTGGCTCAGGCATGGATGGCAGGGCTGTCACAGCATTGCAGCCACCAGCCTGCACAGGTGCCAGGCACTCACAGATGCCCCTGCCCACCTTGTGCCCACCCCTCTGATGGCACTGCCAACACAGCCTCCACAGATGCCAGTCCTGAGGACATCCCAGGGCTCACCCAGTGCCAGCTCAGCCTCAGAGTGCTAACTCCAGCAGAGCCCCAGCCCTGGCATGCCTGCCAGCACAGACTCACTGCTCCAGCAGCTTCAGGGTGGAGGAGAAGCCTCAGGGGTGGGAGAGGACTGGAAAGTGGGAGCAAGGAAGCTTCCCCACCACTTGCATGCCAGGCCTGGCTCCAAAGGGCTGCACAGGGGCTTGAACTCAGAAGGGGCTTTTACCAGCTCCAACCTTTTCAATACCTCATGCAAGAACAAGAGGTCTGACTGCTCTGAGGAGCAGCTTGGAGGAGTGGCACAAACAGCAGCTCCTGCCCACCTGCAGCCTGGCTCCCCTGGGCACCAGGAGCAGGAGTTGGGCCAAGCTCAGGGCAGGAGGCAGAGGTGGGACCCAGCTCCTCAGCCCCCCGTGCCCAGCACATGGTGAGGGGCAGCTGAGGGGCTCCCCCCAAACTCTACCAACAACAGCCACTTTTCTGACCCACCCACCCCCCTTTGCCTCTCCCCTTCACTAAAGGATTCCCTGGATTCAGGGCACTGGGGCTCCAGGATGCTCAGTGTCTACGTGCCAAGGGGAGAAAGGGCTGGGTGAAGCAAAACCCAGCACCTCACTGCATCTCCCTGCATTTCCACACCCCTGAAGGAACTAGGTGATCTAGAAGGTCCCTTCCATCCAAACCTTTCTGTGGTTCTATGGTTCCTGGTGAAGCCAAGCCCTGTTACCCACCAGGCTGAGACTCTATCAGCTCAGCCCTCCCCTTGAGCTGTGGAACTGCTTCCCCACTGCCTTCCTGTCCCCATCCCACTGCTCCAGGGCCCACATTTACCAGCTCCTGGGATCAGCTTCTTGTGCTGCTGCTCAGACAAAACACAGGTAACATTTCTAGAACCTGTCAGCTCTTGCCAGGGCTTGCTGCTTCTTTGGCAACACAGATTCCATCTGCCATTTCCAGTGCAAACCCCTAGACTGGGGAGAAAGTCTTTGAAAAGGGGCTGTGACCAAGTTCCAGGTGGACTGAGGTGACTCCACAGCCCATGGTCTCCCCAGCACATCTGAGCTGCACATCCCCTGGGAACCAACTCTCCCCTCACACAGGCCAGGGGCTGCACACACACCCAGACCAGTTCCACCACAAAAAAACTGGGATGTGGCAACATCCCACCATTCAGACACAGGTTCAACATCTGACCTGGCAGCTGGGGAAGCTCCAGGTCTGAGCAAGGTCCCTGGGATGCTCTTTTCCTACTTCCATGCACAGGTGAATCATCTGTGACCAACCATGGCCCCAGTGCTTCTCCTTGGGGAACCTGCCCTCTCTGGCTCAGAAAAAAGCACCAAATGGATGAGGTGGGGCTCATCTAATGAGTCTTAATGAGGCAAAGGCTTCGTGCTGGGGAGGAGGCAGGTGAGATGAATGACTCCAGCAGCTTCAGCACTTTTCCTGCACCTGGGGCAGAGGAATGTCCCTGGATAGGCAGGAACCTCCCACCACTGCTCTTGTTATCACAGCCATCAGGGAAATGCACAATAATCACATCACAGAAAGCTTTAGGTCAGAAGGGACCTCTGGAGGTTTCTAGTCCAACTGGCTTGCAGGGTAATTTTTGAAGTCAGATCACTTTGCTCAGGGTGGTGTCCAGCCAAGATCTCAGCATGTTTAGGGTCAGGGATCCCACAGGCTCTCAGAGCATCAGTCCCCAGCTGCCCTGCTCTGCTGGGGAAAAAGCTTCTCCCTCCTTGCACCTTGTGGCCATCACTAATGTCCTCTCACTGTGCCCCTCTGGGAAGAGTCTGGCTCTGTCTTCTCTTTAAACTCCCTTTGGAAGCAGAAGCCTGGAGCTGGATGTCCCTCAGCTCCCAACCCTTGTGCTGCAGCCCCTGACCCATCCTCCTGATCCTCTTGCCAGACCTGCCCCAGTTGGTTGATGCCTCTGCAGCCCTGGGGAGCCCCAAAATGGACACGGTGCCCCAGGTGTGACCCCACGAGTGCAGAGCAGGTGGGAACAACCCCTCTCCTTCCTTTTTTTGCTCATGCTGCAAAACATGGTCCTCATCACACACCTTCATCACCAGTGAGGGTGACAACTTGTGCAGGGAGTGGCTCCCAGTGGGAACAAGTGAAGGGTTGGGACTGGATGTGTGTGTGTGAAACCAGTTTAGTGGAGTCAGTGACCTCTGAGTGACTTTGTGAAGCCAAGATAGAGGGAAAAGCTCCTGGTCAGAAAGGGACACAGGCAGCTGGTACCTGGTAGCTCTTGCCCCTGGAGCAAATGGTTCCTTCACAGCCAGGGAAGTCTGACTCTTCAGCACTTCCAAGGCTGGAAGGTCCTGGTTGCAGTTCCCTGCTCTGCCCCTAAACTGACATGGGAGACTTGGTTCAAATCCACATCATCCCCCTGCACTGTCCTTTTCTACCTGGAAAATGAGGCTCATCCTCCTGCCTCATGTTCACTCCTTGCCTGCCTTCTCTCTCATGTCAGTGAGCACCTTTTGTGCCTCAGAGCTTGGTCCCCCAGCAGCATTTAGTGCATGGAACAGAACAGCTAAAAAGGAAGGAGATGAAAACAGTTCAAGGGAACACAAACAGCATCCAATCTGGGATGGTGCTACCTGGGGATCCTCTCATCCCAAGCTGTGCTCCAGCTCTGCCAGCAGCATCAAGCACTTTGTCACCAGCCTGAACTCCACTTTAGAAGCAGCTTTTCAGCCACGGGACGTGGTGAAGTGACCAACACAAGAGACAAGGCAGTGAGAGATCCACACGTTCTGACCTCAGCTGAGAAAGATGCTACAAGTCTCAAAATATCTCAGCTGACTTCCCTGAACTGTTTCTGAACCACCTCTACACAGGTTCCTTCCATTGGCTTTCTGGGTATTTCAAAGCAGAGATTTAACAAACTGCAAAAAGGGCCAAAATAATAAAAAATAAGAAAAAAAAAGGTCTTTGTTATTCCAGCCTTCTCTGTGCCAAGCCCTGCCCAGGACTGGCCAGGGTACAGCTTGGCTTCTAATGCCAAAGATCTGCTGTCAGCATTTAACCTGGCCCTGTGGGACTGGTCACCTTGTTCCACCAACCACGACTCCTCTTTGTTCCCTTGTGACAAAAGAAACAGCTTTAGGGACCATTTCCATGTTGAGAAAATGGTCTTTTTTGGTGTTTTTTTTTTTCCCCGGTTGGAAATGGTCATTAAATGGGTGGTGATTGCCCAGTGGCACAAACTGCCCAGTGCCAAAGACACTCCCTCAGCTCACCAGGTTGTCCCTCCCTCATGGGAAGTGTTTGAATGACTCTACATGGGGGAAACTGATGCTGGAAAAGGGACCTCTGTGGCACAGAAAGGCAAGCAGATTGGGAGCAGCCCAGCTCTCACAGCCACTATCACTTTGAGATGTCACCTCCACGATGGTGGAAGCAGAGGCAGATTTATCCTGATGGGGTCTCCAGGTGCCCATGCAAGAAAGAAGCAGAGCTTCCTTTCCCCAGCAGACAGAAACTGCCTGAAATCCTTGAGCCCCACGTCACTTGGAGGCAAAATTAATCATCTGAGTCCTTGAAAGGCACTTTTCTACATCCTCTTTATCTGAGACA